AAAACAAAATATGGAAAAGGGCATGTGCGACACATGTTTTATGGGTCATTTTACTCATAGAATTCAATAGGCACACTCAATAAGTGATATGGACCACCTCTGGATGAATTTCAGGTCGAGGTCAGGTCAAGGTCAGGTCAAGTGAGGTCAAATTTTGAAGTTGGTTGTTAAAGCCTAAAAAGGTGTCTATCTGATGCAGTTTTTCACGGCGAATCGAATGGTGCTATTTTTGTTTCCGTACGAGGTCTAAAACCTTCAAAAAAAATCATTTTTCAAAATTTTGGTGTGTCGTGACGTCATAAAATCTTGAATAACTCCCACATTTTTGAACCGATTCTTCTAAAAATTGCTATGTAGATGCACATAGACCACTTCTCTGACATATATTCCGGTTTGTTCGATACACTCAAAACTTTGGATTTTATAATTATGTTCCCAAGAAAGCAGGTTTTTGAAAAAATTTGGGCCAAAATCCAAAATTTTCAAAAAACCGAGATAGCCATTTGATAGACAAAGTAGAATTACGTATAACCTTTTTTGCTACGTCTTGATTCCTTTAAAGATGAAGATGTTAGCGGCGTTTGAACTTTTGCCGTTTTTGAGGCGAAAATGGCGAACATGACGTCACTAAAACGTCAATTTCTCAAAAACTTTCCGACAGATTTCGCTCAAATTTTCAGGGAACGTGTCAAATTGATGTAAGAAAAGGTACTGAAAGTTTGGCGGCGCTGCGCGCCGCCGTTTTTGAGATATTGCAAAAATTCGCGAGGGGGGTAAAATTTACTCCCCCCCCCCAGCCCCGCGCGGGTTAACTCATAAAAGCAGTTTTTTTTAATAAGTCCTGATAGAGAAATGCTAGGTCGATGAAAGGACATTGGAAGCGGACAACTCAACGATGCAGGTCAAATGTATGCAACACAACCTTTTTCGGTCAAATAATTGAGCTCAGCTTAAATTTTCTGAAAGACCTTTTAAGGTCAAATTATATTTAAGAGTGTCTCGACGAGGGCAACATAATACCAGTAAAATAAATATGCAAAGTTTGGATAAAAGGCTGTTGCAGAAAAACGTTGTCCGCAAACTCGTCAACCTAGGCGGTTTTTACCTCTGTGGGCTAAACCGTTGACATTAACTCGAATCTGAAAAAAATCCAATAGAACGTTTAGAGAACTTGGTATCGATTGTTTTTCTGCGGCGCTGTAGCTCTATCCGTTCCCAAGATATGCACCAATTTGTCGAAAATTATTGAAATCGGTGAACTTTGACTTTCGATGACATCTGGTGACCTGACCTTTGACCTGACCTAAGGAATAACCATGTTTTTCCGTCAGCACTTGATGGTCTTTCGAATATAGCCTAGGGTAAGGGCGGGTAAGAGTACGCGGGCGATAAGAGTACGCATCAGCTGTTTCGGTTGCTTAGCATCGCGGGTTTGTCGAGTTCATGAAGTGACATGAAGCCGCCAGTGCGTGCATGTCACCAACGGAACGTGGGCGTTGAGCGGCGACGCTGTTGAGTTTAAGGCGATGAATATCATTTTCGAGCGTTATGATATTATTATGATATGGTACAATAATTTTGATACTTGGCAGTTGAGATAAGGTACATTTCCGTGATTGCTGTGGGAAACTTGTGAGGTTATCTGGGGAAATACTGTACAGTGCAATATTCTGTTTGCGAAGTTTTGCACAACGTTTTGGGGTTGTTTTGTGCGCGAATTGCATATACGGTAAGAGGACGCACTGTTCAGGAGGGTAAGAGTACGCAGAATTATACATTAAATCGAATATACAGAAATATAGAATTATTAATCTATCGCTCAATGACGTTTGTTTTGTAGGTATATCATCAATGGAGCACTGTGATGCAGTCGCAGATGCGTACCCAAAATTCTTCCAAATACGAGTTATTCTCCTTTTTGATTGTGCATTTTTTTTAAGAAACACACGACATGATTATATCCTGATTTATAGACTTGAAAGATTTATTTTATGTTTTTCTTTTTGGATACTAGAATTAACTTAAATGCCTTCTGAGTTTGAAGTTAAGCATTTGGACAGTGCAAGCTGCATAGGTGTGTGTTCATATGCTTGCGTACTCCACCCGCCTGGCGTGCGTACTCTTACACACCCCATACGGTAAGAGTACGCAAGTGCAACGGTTCAGAAAATGTCAGTTTTAGACCACTTCCATTTACGCTGAAGGATCGCTGCCCCATGGGTTGATGGCTAATTCAATGAACTTTAACATTCCCTATTTGCGATTTCTTTCCTTCAAATATTAAACAAATGAGAGCAAGAAATCCACTAAGTGCGTAGGGTAGCCTGGGGGCAAGACGCCCCAGATAATTTATTTTGCTGCATAAATTTTGTCCCACATCACCTGGAAGGCCAAATTTGTGCTCAATGCGTTCTTTGGACATTTTACTTTAAATTGCACCCCTCAAATTCATTCACTAATGATCGGACTCCAAGCTAGGAAGTGATTTGTGAAGCAACTGCAAATGGGGCATTTTGCCCCAACCTCAGGGCAAAACGCCCCACGGCCTGGGGCAAGTAGCCCCATACTTTAGATTACAGATTTAACATGGTAGTTGGCTTAATCTTATGTGAGAGGTCCGTTAGACCTCTGGAGGCACGGCTCTGAAGTTAGCACATTCCATCCTGTCAGGTGTTCAGCTATGACGCTATTGTATGAGCAGGTTTTTCACCTGCCTCATAAGACCAAATAATAAATTATTGCAATGCAAATGTTTACAGAATATTTCCTTTGCCATCCAGTTGCTGAGAAAAATACACATAAAGGCATAGAAACTTACTGTTCGCCAGCTACCGAACATTAGAAAGTGGGTAGCCCGAACAACACATGAGGTAATGAACGCCCCATGGGGCTTTTTGCCCCGCGACCTACTGGGGCGTTTTACCCCATCACGTAGTTCGGTCACAGAACAACGCTTTGCACTCCAGCAAGACATAATTTAACACGAACCAACCCGGCATGATAAGCGTTAGACAATAGTTGTTCAAAATACATAAAAGTCGTTAACCTGATGTGGACCATAAAAGAACGCCATGATGCATAATCTGACAACAAAACATAAAAATCACTCAAAAAACACATTTTTTGGCTATATCTCCCGAAAGAGTCATCACAATGTCTTTCCTGTCTGCTCATATAATGATCATATAGTGCATGTTTTATAGAAGAGAGGATGTCATCCCCAGAACTCTGCCAGTTCCGAGAAACATCGGTGAGGCGTTTTACCTCGGCGGGGCGACTTGCCCCGGTCTACCCTACTCTTATACGACTTCACCCTACTGTTTGTTGCTACGTCGCCCAGAAGTCGAGTTCAAAGGGGGTGTTGACCTCCGCCCCCCCCCCCCAGGAAATCCAGGGGCCCAGCGAGACAAGGGTAACCAGAATTAACATTTAATAAAGGGATAAAAGTCACTCGCTATAATGCATGTGTGACAACTTCTGCTCGATTCCAATGCACTAGGAACCTTGATTTAAGGTGTAAGCACAATTCAAGTAAAATCGGACGCATCATTTCCTATAGCCCTTATGCTATCCTTACGCTTTTACCACTTGGCGGTTACCTTATGCTTTACCGCCAACCAACACTTGCTTGGAAGAGCGCACCCACAGTACAGTATATACAGGGTGTTTCACTAAAAGTGTCAAAAAGTAAATGCTTATTAAAGATATATAAAATATGCAAAGCACGTGGTTGCGCACGTGGCTTTGTTGCAAATTTTTGGACATTTATGCTTAAGTCATTTAAGATATATTTTACACTCATACGGAGCGAGGGCAGGAGGCCAAAGTTACTAGTCGTTTTTTATCCTTAAACAGAACAAGAACAGGTTATTTACACCGCAACAGGAGCGGTGGATTACACTTACAGTTGGTGCTATCAGAAACATTGAAACCGTACGCCGACTTTTCAGGAAACGTTTCACTCTCTCACCTCGCTACGACACAGATTATAAAAGTTTCAAATCGCTCCCTGAGAGGTTTAAAAGGGTTCCTTTGATGCCGGCTCCAGTAAAAAAAAGGCAGGTCGCCACCACCTCTCGGCGGAAATGGTTGAAAAGGTCAGGGTCTTTTTTAGGGCCCTTTAAGATAACAAGAAGCTTATTTCAGCATCAGAAATAGCCAAGCCCTTACAAGTTATCAAAAACAACCACTGTAACGGCTGTAGCCACCAAGAACTGGCTGGAACAGAAGTTCTCGGGCCCAATAATCAGCTGCCTCACCGCCCGCCCCTGGCCAGCGCGAAGACCCGATCTGTCACCGCTTTACTTCTGGTTTTGGTCAGTAGCTCTCGCAGAGCTGACGAAGACTCAAGTCGCATCACTTCGGGAGCTGAAGAGCACAATGCAAGGCTTTGCCGACAGTCTGGACGCTGAAGATGAAACGGGCTGTGAGACACCTCCGGACACGTGCGGAAACGGTGCATCAAAAGAAGGGGCGGATATGTGGAATAGGTTTGAGTGACGGTGATATCATTTTTATATATTCAAATGTCCAACAATCGCGGATGAAATGATGTGAAAATGTCCTTAGAAAACATTGTTTTATGTGCATTAGGACCTTTTACTTTTTGACACTTTTAGTGAAACACCCTGTAGAACATCGGTGCACCCTTCTCTATCTTTCTATTTGATGGTCGTATAGAAGGATGGAAGGAGGCAATCACAAACTCACAGAAAAAAACACTAATGCCCGTATTTTCAATGATGCAATTGTGAAGAATGCAATGGTGCTGATCCTTTATGTGTTGTAGTGCTAAGCTGACCTTGACCAGGGGTCCAGGGCCGGGGTCCAGGGGCGCAACTGACCCTGATCAGGGGTCCGGGTGTGAGTCGGACCATGATCAGGGGTGTGGGGACGAAGCTGACCTCGACCAGGCCCAGGGGCTCGGGTGAGGCTCTGACCTTGGCCAGGAGCTCGGGCGAGGCTCTGACCTTGACCAGGGGTCCGAGGGTGAGTCTGACCTTGATCAGGGGCCCGGAGGCGCCGCTCAGCGACTCGCTCGACTGCTGGATGCTGCTCGGACGCCGCAGGCGGCTGACGCTGGTGGCACTAATGGCGCGGTACGTGGACACGGACAGCTTCATGGCGCCGCCACCGCACCAGGCGATACCAGTCCCCCGTGTGAGATAGTGGCACCTTCACGGCCCAGTCGGCGGCAGTCGGCCGCCTCCCCGACAGGTGGGCGCACGCTCAGTGGAGGAGCGACCGAGGCGAGCAGGCCGGGCCCAGCGCGCAGGCGCGCCGACGGCACTGACTTGTCACTTGCAGCGGCTTCCTTACCTGTGCGTGAAACCCGAGCAGAGGTGTTTCCGCTATTCCTACAAAGAGCCGTAAATAACATAATATCATTGACTTTAGAAAGAGATACATAGCTATTATGTTATATGTATATGCATTACCTATGCATGATAATTACCTATGCATGATATAAAAATCGGCGGTGACGTTTATTTTTCGTTTCACTTCCGTGCTACTCTCGTAAATTGACGCTTCGAATATGCAATATGCAATAGGTATCATGTCAATCGACTTTCTAGTATTGTCAATTACTCAATTATGTCAGCTAATGATCACTCAGCTTTCAGTCGGTATAGCTACTGCTAGGCAGAGCATTTATTGGCTTTGTGCTTTAGCCTTTTAACCTACGACCGCCTGGAGACGGATCCGAGTTCCGACCCCCTTTTCGCTTTTTTTCTTAAATAGTTTTGGTATGAAACGTTTCAGCTATCATCACGAAACTTCATACCCCGTCTCCTTTATCAATTTGACGTCATATTTGGTCAGGCAATTTGACGGCAGGCCCGATCCTTCGCCAGCTAGTCGGTGCCGGTCTTAACCCGCGACCTGGTGGTGGGGGGGGGCTATTTTTTGCCCCCCTCCAGACTTTTCAATATATCTCCAGAACCGCTGCGCCGATCGTCACCAAACTTTCAGTACCCTCCCGGACATCAATTTTACACATTGTGACCAACAATTTTTCCAAAGGCTATGACAGGTTGGCCGGAAATGACGTCAGAGTGACGTCATGTTCTGCCGTTTTCGACCCAAAAAAGGGTTTCGCGGGAAGAGCTGTCAGGCCTATAGCTTTGCAAATACAGAAAAATGATAAGGACATAAAAGCTGTAGATTGGACAGGGCTACAAAACTGCTATCTTGGATTTTTGAAATTTTTGGATTTTGACCCCCAAAAATAAAAAAATAGATTTTTTGGAAATAATCATCGAAAAATCCAAAAAGTTTTTTGAATTTCGCAAAAACCGGAATATATGTGATAGTCCTTACCGCCTTCCATCCACATATCAAATTTGAGATTGATACCGCTTTTTTTGGCGAAGTTATAGCGAAAAAACTGTTCAAAATTGATGACGTCAAATTTTCAAACTCAATTTTTAGCAACTAGACCCCGTAGCGCAAAACAAAGACCACCATTAGACTCCCCGTGACGAGCTGCATCAAATCAATACCCATTTTATGCAAAACTATCAACTTTAAAATTTGACCTTTTTTGGCCTGACCTTGACCTGACCTTGACCTGAACTTCACCAGAAAGTGACCTAAGCCGTACCTGATAGTCTTATAACCAACACCATTGAGTTGGAAATGAAAAATTGGCCATAAAACATGTATCACACAACCTTAGTAAAGTTGGGCTCATGTGACCTGACCTGTGACCTTTGGTGACCTGACCTGTGACCTGACCTGGTATTGCCAGTGACCTCTAATAGCAACATATCCACTAGGCAACTGACACCCTACCGCTGATTCTCGACAAAATGCGTTTTCCTCGGTGTTATAGCGCATTCCCTAGAAGACCCGTGAACGGTGAAACATGTCATCTTTGACCTGACCTGTGACGTCATCGGTGACCCCGAGGTCAATGAAATTTGGTTTCCCCCGACAAATTCGACAGGCCTTTCGAACGCCGTTTGAATTTTGTGGATCCGTCTAGTAGTTTCGGAGATACGAGGGGGGGCAAAAAATAGCCCCCCCCACCAGGTCGCGTTATAAACAGACCCCACCAGGGCGCGGGTTAAGTCTCAGATTGAGATGTGATGCGAGACATTTCATATCTAAAATTCCACATCTCAGAAATGTTCACACTTCAGACGTGAGATGTGAGGCATAAAAAGATATGATTAAATTTGCATAATTCTGGAGAACATTCGTCCAGAAGAAGATAATTATTTTGGCTTTATCTAACTATTCATTGAACTCAATTTGAGATTCTGAAGGTTAGTGCGCCGATTTTATTTGTCTCCATTTAAACGAGAAAAAATTATGTGAAGCGCTTATTGCGTCCGCTGGCAGCGCCCTTTCCACACCGCCGCGGCTGTGTCCGGGCCGGCCGGCACGGTGACGGGAACGGACTGCTCTGATGCTCTCAGCCCAGCCCTAATGGGATGGCGGCCCGCTCCCCCATCCATCGAATAACAATGGCCACATAAACAGCAGTGATCCGCCGCGGCCAGAGCATTGCTGCTGGTGGGGAGACCACTCTCGTAGAAGATACATCAACTGACAGTCGTTTTCTGTAGAAAGGATGGCTCGTTATGTCCACAGAGCCGTGTCACTGCTCCTCCGCTGACCGAGACCTTGATAGGTGAGGAAGATCAATGCCTTGCCACACTGACCCACCCCTCGCACGTGGCGCCGGCACCGGGGTAGTGTTGTTGGTGATACCGGGTGACCGCGTTTGGGGTAGGGGTGGGGAGGGGCTATCCGTCGTGGCCGCTGTTGGGGAGGGGGTGGGGGAGGTCGGGGCCCTAGCGACAGTGGACGGACTATACACACAGAGCGGTGGCGCGGCCGGCATTCGTCAGTGCCAGCCGGTGCTTCCATGTGATTTTTCCGCAAAGTGATCGGCTTTAATCTCGAACATATCCGGCTACTCGGTGCTATTACTTCTGACAGGTATGTTGTACACGCAAACAAATTCACAAGAGTCGACCCTGCTCCTGTCGGCCCAAATATTCAGAAGTTTTTTAGTGAATACAGTTCGACCACATGGCGCGAAGCCGTCTTCGGCAGTGCCAAAATTCATTCATGCTTGATATGGTAGCATAGGTTGTACCTAGGTACGGTACGCAAGTTCATTATCTGTTTAGGCTTATCATTAGGACTTGGACATGTTATGAAAAAATTTAACATTTCAAAATTTGTTTTGAACTTTTGTTTTGAACTCCGGCCTTGATTTTGCATCTGTCCGAAAATCGTTTTGCACATTGGCTGATTTGATGATCAGTTAAAGTGAACCATAGCAAAATTGATTTTATGCTTTCGGTATGTACTCGTATGTAAAAGGCAACGCTGAAAACTGTTGGAAGAATCATACATACCTAGAGGCTCCAAGATGTCAGGCGGGTCCACGGCTCAGCCATATCTAGGCGTTATCTGGGCCATCTATGCCATATCAGCCATATAGTTACGTATGTACTTCTCTGTTTCAGACGCCACATCGGCCGAGTCAGATGGACCGGTCAGCCACCTCCAGCAGTCCCGGGTTCGCCCCGGCGTCTGATGGGACACCGAGCCGTCCTGCGGAGACGCTGGCGCCGCATCCGACCGCGCCGGCCGCTGACGGCCTCGGCAGGCGGCTCTTCGAAGCGTGCTCTGCCGGTGACGTGGAGGCCGCCCGGGCCGCCCTGCAGGCTGGCGCACACCCGGCGCTCCTCGATCCTGCCGGCTACACGGCCCTGCACCGGGTCGCCGCCGGCTGGCACTGTCCCGAGACCACAGCTCGGCTGGTGCGGCTGCTGCACGACTGGGGAGCGCCGCTCGAGACAGCCAACGCAACGGGACAGACACCGGTGCTGCAGGCCGCGGAAGTCGGCAACACCGCCGCCTTGCTGGTGCTGGCAGAGCTGGGGGCCGTCTGCGACGCTGTCGACCATCACGGCAACACTCTGCTTCATCTGGCCGCAAGCTCGGGAAACCCGCAGACGGTCAGCGCAGCGCTTGACCGCCTGCCAGCCGACGCCGTTGGACGACTCAACCAGAAAGGTATGACGCCACTGCAGGTGGCCAAAAACCGCGAGACGGTGCGGCCGCTATTGGGTGCTGGCGCCCAGGCCGACGAGCCCACCGCCCTGATGCTGCTGAAAAATATGCCGTCCGCCATGCCCGACGTGCTTGACCGCTACATGACCACCAACGGCCAGCCGCTGGACAGCTCACAGCTGGAGGTTTACCTCGACTACATGCCCTTCTGGGACGTGGAAAGGAAGAAGCCGGCGCCGGAGACGGCTCTTCTGCGCGCCATCGTGGATGCCGACCAGAACGAACTGCTCAAGCATCCTTTGATCGAAACGTTCATGCACGTCAAGTGGCTGCAGATTCGACCCTTTTTCTACTTTAACTTCGCGTTCTTCGTGTGTTTCGCATTACTTGTGACCGCTTACGGGATGCTCCGCACTCGTCAGCCGAACGACAGGATAACGCAAGTGGTTGGACTTCTGACGGCCGTCTTCACCGCCCTGACCGGCGTTCGAGAACTGCTCCAGGTGGCTCACGGTGTGCGCTCCTACTTTGGCAGCGTGGACAACTGGCTGGAGCTGCTGCTGCTAGTGCTCAGCACTGCGCTGCTGGCAGTGCCGGACGCCCAGCAGTGGTGGGTGCATCACGTCGCCGCCTGGCTGATGCTGTCCGCCTGGCTGGAGCTCACACTCATGATCGGCCGCATCCCCGCGGTCGGCATCTACATCTACATGTTTGTTCGCGTGGCGCAGAAGCTGATTGGCTTCCTGCTGGTCTACTCGCCACTCTTGGTCGCCTTCGCCCTCAGCTTTTACGTCGTGTTCGGGGAGACGGACGCCTATAAAAGTATCCCTCTGTCACTGATCAAGACGTTCGTGATGATGATGGGAGAGTACGAGTACAACAGTGCATTTATTGATCACAGCCCGACCTACCTGGGAACGTCGCACGTCCTGATGGTTCTGTTTATAGTTAGCATGCCAATCATCACTGTGAACCTGCTCATAGGTCTGACCGTCAACGACATCCAAAGCGTGTTCATGACGGCTGGGTTGGAACGGCTGCGGATCACCGTCATCCAGATACTTTTGATCGAGTCACTCCTATACTCCGACCTTTTACGGAAAATATGCTGTTTGGGGTGCTATAAAGGGTACTTGAGAAACCTGGCCGTTCTGCCCAAAATGTTTGCAACGTCTGTCGATCAGCACTTATCTAGGGGATCGAGAGCATGCACCGCTGCAAAAAGGAACCGTTTTCCTTCGTGGAGCAGTGAACCGTGTGGAGTGCAGCCGCGTCCGGTCCCAGAGGCCCAGCTTAGGACACCTCGTGCAACATTCCGACCCAACGCACCCGACAAACTGCGGATGTACTGGTCGGACGGTCCGGGTCGGCTCCGGTACTCTGGTTTTGTCGTACACAGCTGGATGGTGAACAACATGCTGCGGCTGCTGCAGGAGCGTGAGGACCGCGCCGACCAGGGCGAGCCGCCGATATCGGCACGCCTGGAGGAGCTGTCGACCGGCTCGCCGGGAGCGGGCCGTCGGCGGCCGCAGGCGGCGGTCGAGCGGACTCCCGGCGACGGCGACGGCGCCAGCAGGGTGGAGCAGAAGCTGGACAAGGTGCTGGTCTCGCTGTCGGAGCTCTCGTTGAGGGTGGGCGTGCTGGAGCGGTGCGTGGCGCCGCCGGAACGGCACACGCCGCCGCTGTGACCGACCGGCCACCGCGACCTGTCGGGGCGGGGTCGTCTGTTGGGGTGCGGGGAGGGGCACGCTTTGTTGATTGATGCTGGAAATGAACACATAAAGCTGTTAGGCATAATGCATGAAAGATTACGTAAAAGCACCATTTTTTACACAAATATAAAGTTTACATACAAATACAAATGCGAGCAGTGCGAATACGAACTTGGTTGACATCACTATCAAACGCCATGCACGTCTGACGTCACACTCGGGCAGGACCGCGCCCTGAGCGTGACCTCACCCTTTGACTTCGATCGATCGCCGCCCCGGCAGCGTGAGTATCCCTGTTTCGCAGAAATGCCCCATATCTTTACCGCCCGGCTGAAACTGACGTCACGGCTCGCGGATCCGTAACATGACGTCACAGGCGGCGGCGCGGCGGCCGCGGGCCGAGCGGCGGCGGCGGCGGCAGTGCCGCTGTCAGCGGCGGGCGTGGAGTGTGGGGTGCGATAGTAAGGACCGCCGGCCACTAGTGGACAGATCGCCCTGGCGCCCACAGAGGCAGGTGAGAGCAGTGTGATCTGGGGGTAGGACAGTCAGTGTTGTTCTGACGTGTCGTGAGGAGGGAGCGTACTGTGCTATCAGCGGAGACCAGGCGCTCCCGCCGCAGAGGTCAGGCGCCGGACGCGTCGCGCCGCGCTTGCCAAGGCCGGCCGGACCTGGGCACCAGCGCGGCGCCAGTACGGCCGCACCGCACAGTACGGCGGCGGCCGGCGGCGCCAACACAGCCGGCAATGTGCGCAGTGTTGGCCGGGGCGGGGTGTGGCCCGAGTGAAGCTGTTTGCGTGCCAACGCCTACTGAGGAGCATAACGTGGTTTCTGTGAACCTTCGACCACCCTAGAGGATCGCCAAGGTATCCAGGGATGATGTAAAATAGCATTGAGCGCTCATTAAATGGTATATTTTTATGTTCAAGAAGTTCATTCGCTCAATGTCTACAAAATACGTTAACAAAGACATTGTCACGCTTCCATAACACCGGGCCTATCCATCATTCAGAACAAAGATAATTTGCCGAGGAAGTCAAGATTACGATATCAAAGTGCACCGTAAGCCTGCCGGCGCGGCGGTGAGATAACAATAATAACGTGCACATTTCCTTGGTCGATACGCTTGCCTGTGCCTTCAAGGAACTACCTAATACATGCTTGGAATTAAATCATATAAAATCCTATCATAATAAACGTTGGATGGATGAATAGTAGGGATAAGGGGGCAAAGGCCCAGCCGCCCCAGATAAATTTTCCAGATTCAATATCTCTTTTCGTTGAAAATTTGAAGAACAACCAGAGACCAGTAGCCATTACCTAGCCTTTTTCGAATTATGACTCAGATACATGCCTTTGCAAATTGCTTCTTTTGCACATCACCTTACGTTACGTTTGTTAGGTAAAGAATGACACAATAGCTACATAGGCATAGGTAGGAGGCATCTAATCGTTTTTTACTAAGCATATAACAGTTACTGCCATATGTTACTTTTGTTGCGCTCCTCAGTCGAGAGAACACGTACCTCTGACCTCTGAGGTCAGGTCAAGTGCCCCAAGGTACGGTTCAGTTTTTGGTGAATAACTTCGCAAAAAACGGCCGCAGAGCGCCGATTTTGGCAGCATCGTGTTCGTCTCGCTCAGGCGCGTCGAATGATATACTTTTTGTCCGGGTCAGGTCAACTTGGGGTGTTGACCTCAGGTCAAGGTCAGGTCAGCACCCCCAGGTCACGAAGTTGGTCGAAAAAGGTCATGTCGCATATCATTCGATTCGGCAGGTCTTCCTGAGTCCATTGGTGGCTTTCCCGACTCGCTAGCTCAATTTGATCAAGAGTTATTGACGAAAAACTAATATGACCTTGATGACGTCATAAATGACGTAACGCAAGGTCAACATTGCAAAAGTGACGCATCTAACCTTGCAAGGAGTGCATCAAATCACGATTCTGTGTGCTTGAGATAGTTGGAGATCGTTCCCGGCGCCAGAATAGCAGTTTTCATTTTTCCCCATTGACTTAGGTATAATGGTGAGGTCACGAAAATGACCTGACCTCATATGACCTTTAGGAAAAATCAGAGATATACAAGTTGTGGGACTCATAATGGATACTAGATCCTGCAAGTTTCATTTCCCTGTGACATCTCCTCTGGCAGTGAGGGCGTTGCGAAGTTGCGACATCTGAAGACCGTGCAGAGGTTCACTTATGACGTCATAGGTCAGTGACCTGACCTGACCCAAAAATGCGGTTGGTGTCAAAAGATCCGGCTTGGATCAAAGGTCAGGTATGCCAAGTTTCAGCTCTCTATCGCCAGCGTGTTCGGAGCTATCGTGAAAAAACCCTATGGGGGGGGGGCGGCACCCGCCCCCCCCCTCGGCCGGCGAGGGTTAAGGGATCCGCAGGTCTCGCCTGAGGATCTTGTCTGCTTATACAATATTGTCATGCACTCAACACCACACAGTACACAGCTTAAAATATTTGCGAAAAAAACTACTTTAAATGGTCTATTCGCCTGTTACCTATTATTAGGTATGTGTAAATATGCAGGAGGCCCGTCTGGAGCGCCGGGGAGGTATCTCACAGCTCTCCCTGACCGAGGAGGTATGTATCCCTCAGCTCTCCCCGGGGTTTGGACGGCACTATGTAGCTTGAGAGACGGGCCCAAAAGTCATCATCATCTGTTCAGTTTTAATAACCATCCTGTCTCTATTAATATGATGACTGATGAGTGTGTTTTGTGTCATCAATAAGCTTGAAAAAGTTAAATGTAACTATGCTGATGCACAATCTGTTTGGTAGCTCCAGCCGGCTGTGGTAGGTATTAAGAACTGTTTATGCAGTAGGGGAAGCGGGGGGAGCACCGCCACCTTAAGCATTTCTGCTCACCGAGCTGATATGCGTAGTAAAAACGAAGCTCTTTTGCATTCATGTGAAAGTAGGAATGTTTTCCTACATGTTGGCATAGTTTCCAGCGCTCCATTATAAAATTTCGCTACTTTACAGACGTCGAAAACAAGTCCTGCATTTTTCGTCCTCCAAAAAATGTGCGGGTAGCACCGCCACTGATGGCGATGTTATCCACAGATCGGCCTTACGGTGACAGCCACCCTTGGAAGCGTTACTGCTGTCTGAAATAGTAACTCAAACTCATATAAGACTCACAAGAGTTGGTTGTTAGTTTGTCACAGATCAGACTGTTTGTTGCGGACAATATGCATACAAAGCATGACAAATTCACGTTTATTTCGAAACATCCAGTGAAGTCAAACGTGAGGTTAAAAAACAGACGACGTTTGCGGCCTAACTAAAGCTCTTCTCCGAGCTGAGTGAATCATCATTGCGGCTTTATCCATTTTGCCACCCCTTGAGGTAGCACCGCCGAGCATGGCGGTGTTACCCCACTCACAGTCATGGACCGACAACGCCCCGACAGCAAAACAAGCCGGGACGCGATTCTTCTGTAATTCCTTTCTCAACAAAGAGCACTTCATGCCCTCAAATTTAACGTAAAAATCAAGGCATTTTGACTTGAAATGACCACTTACTTGCTGCTCAAACATGCCAAATGATTACAACGATGGTTTGAAATTCACAAAATGGGCAATTGCGATCTCAAAATCAAATAAATCTTAGCGAAACCTACCTCACGCGGCGTCCCGCTTCCGTTCGGACACCGAAATGGCGGGTGTTTACATTTACAATTCAGAGTTTTGCCGATAGAGAGGATGGCGGTGTTTCCCACATGGCGGTGCTACCCCCGCTTCCCCTAGGTAGTGGATGAAGTGTTCTATCTAGGTTCTGTTGCCCACTTACGTCAGCAATATCGGTTTTATTTACATCGGGCCCATTGCGCTGATCCGTGACTTGCACACTGTTACAGATCCAACATGGCGCGCTACATCTCATCGCCGTCAGAGGACGAGGATGTTCTACAATCCCTGCTGCCCGGCCAGCTGTCGAGCGATTTCCTGACGCACCAGATGAGCGCCATAGTGCGCCGGACCATCAGTCAGGATGGGGCAGAAGCGGCGCACCCGGCCGCCGACCCGCCGCCGGCCGGCGTCAGTCAGGAGCGCCGCCTGCTCTCCGCCTGCCTCGCCGGCGATACGCAGCAGGCCGCCAGCGCGCTCGACGCCGGCGCCGACCCCAACGCAAACATGCGCCACGTCACAGCCGGCCAGCGAGTCCGCCTCGGCAGCGAGACCAACACTCGGCCGCGCTTACGTGTGCCTGTGCGTCAACAGACGTTACCCTCCATGCTGCGACCTACTATTTTGCTCCACTTGGTGGCCGCCCTGGGTGACACCGCTATGATGGAGCTGTTGCTACGCCGCGGAGCGCGGCCCGAAATCAAGGACGCCGTTGATACGACCGCATTGCACGTGGTCGCAGCCGCACGGCATCCGATAGACGTCACTATTGAGCTGGTAAGGCTGCTGCACGACTGGGGGGCGCCGCTCGAGACAGCCAACGCCAGGGGGCAGACGCCGGTGCTGCAGGCCGCGGAAGTCGGCAACACGGCCGCTCTGCTGGTGCTGGCAGAGCTGGGGGCCACCTGCGACGCTGTCGACCATCGCGGCAACACACTGCTTCATCTGGCCGCAAGCTCTGGAAACCCCCAGACGGTCAGCGCAGCGCTCGACCGCCTGCCAGCCGACGCCGTTGGACGACTCAACCAGAAAGGTATGACGCCACTGCAGGTGGCCAAGAACCGCGAGACGGTCCGGCCGCTATTGGGTGCTGGCGCCCAGGCCGACGAGCCCACCGCTCTGATGCTGCTGAAAAATATGCCGTCCGCCATGCCCGACGTGCTTGACCGCTACATGACCACCAACGGCCAGCCGCTGGACAGCTCGCAGCTGGAGGTTTACCTCGACTACATGCCCTTCTGGGACGTGGAAAGGAAGAAGCCGGCGCCGGAGACGGCTCTTCTGCGCGCCATCGTGGATGCCAACCAGAACGAACTGCTCAAGCACCCGGTTGTGGAGACGTTCATGCACGTCAAGTGGCTGCAAATTCGGCGATATTTTTACTTCAACTTTGTGTTCTACGTGTGCTTCGCATTGTTGGTGACTGCTTACGGGATGTTGAGAGTTATGGACCCAGAAAAGCCGAGCACCACGGTGGTGGCTGGCTTCACAGCCCTCTTCACCTTCCTCTGCTTGCTGCGGGAAACTTTCCAGATGGCGTACAGCTGGCGACTCTACGTAAGCAGCATAGAAAACTGGCTGGAGTTGTTGGCCATAGGACTTACCACAGCACTGCTAGTCAGTCATAACTCGTACCGTCCTTGGGTAAACCACGTAGTTGCATGGCTCATGCTGGCCACATGGCTGGAAATGACCCTCATGGTGGGTCGTTTTCCCAGTGTCGGAATCTACATCTACATGTTCGTTCGTGTTGCACGCAAGCTCATTGGTTTCTTGATGGTGTACTCGCCGCTGCTGGTCGCCTTCGCTCTCAGCTTCCATGTGCTGTTTGGGCTGACGCCGGCGTTCAAGACTATTCCCCTGTCTCTTATCAAGACCTTTGTCATGATGATGGGCGAGTATGACTACGATGGGATGTTTTCCGGGAATGAAGGCCCATCGTACCCGGGTACTGCGCACCTCCTACTCATCCTGTTCGTGGTCAGCATGTCCATCATCACCGTCAATCTGCTGATCGGCCTGACCGTCAACGATATCCAGGGCCTTTTCAAGACGGCTGGCGTGGAACGACTTCGGATGACCGTGATCCAAATCCTGTACATCGAGTCGGTCATCTATTCCAACATCACACATGTGCTTTTCCGCACTCGTGTGTGTCGGCGAATGCAGGAGAAGCTGGCCCTTCTTCCGAAGCTGCTCCTACAGAATGTGGATCACCACTTGTCTGGTGAACCCGGCTCGCCCAAGACAACCAAGCTTCCCGAGAGAGCCGACTCCACGGATACTGAGAAAGCGTGCTCTAGCCTCTCGGGCGAATGTCCCCTCGTTCGCGCCGCCTTTCGACCAAACGAAAAGGGTCGCTCTAGATTGTATCGCTTCACGACGTCGGACGAGCTGCGACCCACGGCGTTCACCGTGCACAGCTGGATGCCGCGCAACATGCTGCTGCTGCTGCGCGAGCGTGCCGCCGCCGCGGATCGCGAGACGCGCGAACAGGTGCTGCAGGCCGAGATTTTGGCCGCCGTTCGCGCCAAGACGGAGAATCCGTTCGAAGATGCGCCCGAAGCAAGTCGCAGTGCACCGAGCGACCCGAGTCCCGATGGCGATGGCGCTCGCGGTGCTGGCGACGGTGACGCGGACTCGGAGGGTGCAGGAGCGGACGGACGCAGTCGCCGCGGACGACGCCGACGGCGCAAGAAGGCCGTCACAAGCCGCGAGGCAATCGACGAGCTGGGTCAAAAGCTGAACACTGTGCTAGCGGCCATATCTGAAGTGTCGCTCAAGGTGGGACTTTTGGAGCGACGCGTTAACATGCAAGATCAGGCTAGGCTGGATACTTTCTATTCTGCCTGAGTTGTGTCACGACGCGAGTACCTATTTCGCTCTAGCTGATCGTTTTGTCACTGTGGCTGAACCACGGTTAAGTTTTAACTGTTGATGAGTAATTTGTTGATAGGTTGCGCTTTTCGCATGCATGTGCAATGTGCGTTATATAGTAGGCAATAATCGGCCAGTGTTGTTTGCTCACAGTTGCTGTCACAAATAGCCATACAAACTGCAGAGGTCGCTCAAACAGTTCTTACTTAGCATATTTATGTGTTAGCCACCGGTTGACGTATAGGCTACTGAGTATTCCTGATCATCTCATGCAGCAGCAATAATGCAGTTACAATTTAAAAATGTTGTGTAAATAGCGTGAACCAGATCATATATATGCACAATAGTTAGGTTAGCTGCGTCGTATCATAAAAGTAGGTATGCTCGTATAGGTACCTATGGAAACTTGTCGTAGAGCGTTTTTAACAGGTTGGAATAGGTTCTGAGTGGGATGGGCACGGTGAATAGGCTGTGAACTCGAAACCAAAAAAGAAAAATCCAGCAGTGTTGAAAATTAACCAATCCATCCTTGACCTCACCGATGCTTTTCAGCTTGGTTCGTAGGGAAATGAAGGGTTGCAGCTTTACCATTGCGCTGTAAAACGGAACCAAACGAGTTGCGAGCATTTTACACTCGTGTAGGTACTGGATGAATTCATTCTTGTCCTGATTTTGCATAATTGATAGTAACCTCACCACACTTCTTCTCACTTTGGAATGCTATTTCTTTGTATTAAAGGTGATGCTCATGCGTGCGTTTGCTAATAAAAAAAAAAACTGGTGAAAATGTCTTGTGTAATGTGTTTTTATCATCGTAACACACAATGCGTAGGGGAATGCAGTTGCGCAGGAACCGGGGGGGGGGGGGCTAGCGGGGGCTGCCCCCCAAACATTTTGGCTGGGGGGGGGGGCTCGTAATGTATTTGAGCCCCCTCAGCTGGAGGAATCGAAATCGGAAATCTACCAACATAAATTCATACATTCATACATAGGCACGGGAACCGAAGGAGGGGGCTGTGGGGGAAGCTTGCCCCCACAACTCTGGGGCCGTGGGGGTGGTGCCCCACAATTTTTCATGAAGCCAGGAGCCGTTGGGGCAGCTTGTCCTCCCCAAATTAGGGGTTGTGGGTCACAAAGGAAGAAAGCATGTGTGAAAAATCCACCTCTTTCACTGGCTCGGCAACTCATTTGGCAGATTAAAACCTTGATTCCAGGTTGCCACTCAGCTGGTATGGAATACCTCACTTTTTTGCAAATATTTTCTTCTTTTTTTTCGTTGAAAAGACAACGATCTGAAAAGTAAGTGGCCTAAAACCGGTGAGATTTGAGAAAACTAGATTTGGGGGTACCCTAGGTTTATCTCTATTATGGTTCAGACTTCAGCCCCCCCCCCCCCAGTCTGGAAGAAGTTCCCGCGCCACTGGGGGAATGTGGGGCAATATGGGCACCCTAAGAAAATTTGTCTCCCATGCTCCTTAAAGGGACTATCCCACCTTCAAAAAAGTCCCGTTTAGGATTCGGAAATGTTACTCAGGATATTGTGATGAATTCTGCAAGTTTTTACGCGTTTTCATCGTATACTTTTTGAGATATTGCGACTTTTATATTTCTTCGTGACGTCATTTGGATCGGATCTGTGACGTAATAAGGATTTACTTCATGTCAATGTGGGGGAAATTTGGCAGCAAATATATTTACTAACTAATATTTACTTACTAATATAATATATTTATAAATATACGCCGATTTCAACTTATTGGTAAAACAGGTCGAACGCGTGAAACGGCTGATGACGTCATCAAATGGCCGTTAATAGTTAAGAGATAGGGCCTTAGCTAAGGCCCACTTTTAAATGAAGGGAACGAATTTCTTTAACACCACGAAACTGAGGATATTGCGACCAGGATATATAGTGGTTTCTGAACCTGGCCGCCAACTTGGCTATCTCAACTCAGAACTAATGCAAAGGTGGGACACTCCCTTTAAAGGTAGTGTGCCAGCTTTCCTGGACCATATGGAGTTAATGACCCGGATAAGGAGAACCGGATTTTTAGAACTTATCCATACCTTCAAAACTTATGGAAACGTCTTAAATTCTTCAAATTTTGAGTACCCCAGTGCGAAATTCGCCCCGACGGGTTGTCGGTCGTACCCCAACCACATTTCACACCACTATGAACAATAAATGCACATACTAAAATCGCTATTACCGATAGGCTCATCCAATCAAGTTTCGATAAACCCGTTCATCATCATCTCCTGCGGTTTCGAACACGCCTGTTAGGTGGCTTCTGATGCTCGTCGAGGTCGGAATTTCCAAATACGCGTGGTGCGTCGGGCCGCGCGCTCTGACTTAGGCCAAGAAAAATGCGTCAGCTGATCATTGTCATTTCTGCCACTTGCGTGTGGTGTAATGGGGTCATAACTTAAGAGACGGCTGTTTCATATCAATTATTTTACATAAAATCATATTTCAAACCACAAATTAATGTTCGACAGCCAAATTTAAGAAACAATACCAATACAGGCTTACAGTTTAAGGCTCGACATTGTGTTGTCTACGATTAGACAGCTGATAACTCATTCCCGTACGTCGTATGGTCGTAACACTATAATGACCTTTGCTTATTGTCACAAGTGCGCCGCATTCGCGATTGTTGCCCGACGCCTGTTTGCAGGTGAGCCCACTACAGTTGTTATACATATCTAAAAACCGATAAACTTTTAGGCGAAAAAGGCACTATTCCAGGCCCATTTTTGATTTTTTTTGCGATATTAGGTAAAAACAGAAGCTTCTTATCCTAGGAAAAATAAAACGGGCAATCTTTCAAAGGTGGCACACTACCTTTAACCCGCGCCCCGTTGGGCTCTGCCGAGCAACGCGCCCCGTTGGGGGGCCATTTTGGCCCCCCATAAGATCTCGAGAACCACGCAACCTAGCGACAAGCGGCAAACGGTGTTGGATAGCCCTATCAGGGAACTACCTTGTGACCCAATTTTATTGACCTAGGTCAAACCGATGACGTCACAGGTCAGGTCAAAGGTCCAATTTTCACCGTTTACAGGCATTTCAAGAAATGCGTTGTAAAATCGACTAGAATGCATTTCATTGAAAATCATCGATGGGGAAATGTTCTTCAAACACATATTTTGCTATTTGAGGTCACTGATACCAGGTCAGGTCGCAGAGGTCAGGTCACTGGGGGGTCACAATATGAAAGTGTCGTGTGATACATGTTTTATGGTCCATTTTACATGACAAATGCGATTATGTGGGTCAGGCAGCCTTTGGGGCCAGCTTAGGTCACCTTTTGGTCACCTTTTGGTCAAGGTCAGGTCAAGGTCAGGTCAAATTAGGTCAAATTTCAAAGTTGATATTTTTGCATAAAATGGGTATCGGATCGATGCAACTCGTCACGGGGAGTTCAATGGTGGTCTTTGTTTTGCCGTACGTGGTCTAGAATTGCTAAAAATTGAGTTCAAAAATTTGACGTCATCATTTTTGAACAGTTTTTTCGCTATAACTTGGCCAAAAAAACGAGATATCGATCTGAAATTTGGTATGTATATAGAAGAGCGCAGGGACTATCACATATATTCCGTTTTTTTCGAAATTCGGGAAAATGTTTGATTTTTTAGTTTTTCTAAAAAAATCAATTTTTTGAATTTTTGAGGATCAAAAACCCAAAATTTTGAAGATCCGAGATAGCAGTTTTGTAGCGCCGCTTTTTGTCTACCAGACCATATAAAGAACTTTAAAATTGCTTGATAACTGTAGATTTGGTGAGCGTTTCAAGATTGCATGTTTTTTGCTCATTTTTGCTCGAACATGACCTCAGTTTGACCTCAATAACTCCTGACCTAAGGTGACCTAAGACTTGAAATTTGGTGTGAAGGTGTCAAATTGATGCCCGGGAAGGTACTGAAAATTTGGCGGCGCTGCGCGCCGCTGTTTTCTTGCTATTTAGGCAAAAACCACAGGGGGGGCCAAAATGGCCCCCCAACGGGGCGAGGGTTAATTAAGGAATCGGAATCAAAACTACCGAGTATGGTGCTAAGCGAGACTTTGATGCCTTGCTGATTATGCATTTACCTGCTTGATCTGATATCCAGACGCATTAAAAAAAACTTTTTAAATAGGTCATACACTTTTCCGTTTTGCCCCACCCCTGAGGTAAAACGGGAAATGGCGTGGGGCAATACGGGCTATGATGATTTTTTACCTAGATATACTATCTTCTTCAGTCTCCGTAAAAGCTTTTGAAAATGAAAGAGTTTATCTGGCCAAGTATATATATATATATATATATATATATATATATATATATATATATATATATATATATATATATATATATATATATATATATATTAGGCACATACACGGTACAGTGTACTAATTATGAAGAAACATTATGACAACGTTTGAAACGTTTAACACAAACACTCCTCTTTAGAAAGAGCACATTTGAACATGCATTTATGAAACGTGAGTGAGCCAATAAAGGCAACCAGTTTTAACTGTAACAACAAAAAGCACTTCTGGGCACGTAAATGGGGTAAATGTGGTAAAATGGGGTACACTCCATATCGCCTCTAGGGGAAACCCATTTTACTTCCCGAAGGACATTGGCCATAGAGCAGGATCGTTCATGTTTATCAAAACAGCCGGCAACTTTCTATCGCAGCGAAAGGTTAACCCGCGCCCCGCTGGGCTATTCAGCCGTTCTATATAGGGGAGAGTGGGGAAAGATGCCCAGGGTTTTACTATGTCATATATTGTTCGAAAATGACGATCGGAAATCAAAAACTTGGAGTTTCAACGGAAGCCGACATCATTTTTCTCCAAAAATATCACACTTTCGTGCCTAAAATATGATGACTTTTTTTTTGCTATTAAGCATTTTCCTGAAGAAGTGAAAGGGGGCATCTTACCCCACAGGGTGGGAAAGACGCCCCCTGGCGTTGGGGAAGATGCCCCCTGCACTATATGTAAGTGACATAAATGGGCACGTGAATCGCCTGAACGAATCAGTAGTCCCTTCGAGCCTGCAGTAGACACCAAACGTCATCGTAAGGGCCCTCAAAAGTAGTCGTAAGGGGCTTCAGAGGTCATCGTTAGGGCCATCATAGTCCAGCGCGGCCAAACAAGCCTCCGTGGTGGCGTTTGGAGACCACTGTGGGGCCCTTATAGGTCTTCATGATGCTTGAGGGCCCTCGAGCCCATCGTGGGGAACTCAGATGCCAGCGCGGCCCATGGAGCCAACGTGGGAGCCCTCAAAGGATGTCGTGAGGGGCCCTGGAGCCAATAATGGGGCCCACAGAGGCCGTCGTGAGGGCTCTCAGAGTCAGATGCCGCCCAAAAAGTCGCTGTGTGGGCCGAGAGACCGGCATGGGGAGCACCCGACCGTACTGGACTCTCAATAGTCCCAGATTTGCTTTTGTCTCTCATCACAAGTATGTAATAAATGATTTGACGGGCTGCTTGAAGGACAGCCTACGGATTTAGGGGGGGGGGGGCGTCTTTCCCCATCAGCACAGACAGGGGGCATCTTACCCCAAGGTACCGAAGTAACATTAAATCAGTACAATTTGCTAGCCATAAAACTACACCCTGAAACAAACTGTTTGGGACGCAGTACACGCATGTTAATGTATCACGACTATAGCAAGGGACGCAAAAATTATCTACCTTCTTTGATATTTACAATGTTTTGACACCAAAATATTTTTTGAAAGCAGCAAATAAAAAGCATGCAATCACCAGCCAGCCGTTGCCCAACTGAG